GCCTTCAGCCTCTACATTCCAGAGGCAGGCACTACCAGCATGGCCTCGAGAGACCCGACATGCCCAGAAAGTGCACATGAGTTTTGGAAACTTATGCTGTAGGAAGAAGACCCTAAGTTTTCAAGGACCTCTGTTGTCTGGGGAACGGGCTAGGGTTCTTGCAATGTCTGGGCTCGGGCAGACATAAGGTCATCGATATGGCTATACACACAAATGGATGGAGATGGACAATTCTACCAATACAATCTCAACTAACATAATGTCCGGTTTGTGTATAGCCTCCGTCCAAAGAACCACTTCCACAATAAATTTGATCATATCTTCCCCTTTCCACCAAATCCTCCTCCTAAACCCTTCCACAGTTTCCTATTGCTTAAAACAGTCCCTGCCTCTCTGTGCTCCCAGCACTCTGGGAGGCTGAGGCAGGAGGATCACAAGCTTAAGCCCCGCTGAGTAACTTCATGACTTAATGAGACCCTGTGTCAAAAGAAAACATAAAAAGAAATCTGGGGATGTAGCTTAGCGTGCAGGCCCTGAGTTCAGTCCCCAGTACCATCACTAAAAAAACAAAACAAAAACTTTCCAGGCCTTATCTGTGGCCCCCAAACCACCTCACTCTTAACCTCTTCGTCTCTGTTTCATACCCCGCCATCCTCAGCCCTTTTAGGAGCTAGACATCCTCCCACCTTGAGACCTTTGCATATTTTATTCTTCTGCATGGAACCGTTTACCCAGTTGATCCTACTCCACTTTTAGGTCTTCGTTCAAGCCTCACCCAAAAAAAAAAAAAAGTAATTCAAATCCTACTAGGGCCAGAGATATAACTCAGCGGCACAAGCGCCTGCCTGGCAAGCATAAGGTCCTGAGTTCGATCCCTGGTACCAAAAAAAAAAAAAAAAAAAAAAAAAAGTAATTCAAGCCTCACTTCCTCAGGGGATCCTCTTCAACTCTTCTGCCTAGATCGACCCTCCCCACCTCAGACCCCTCCTCTCACCACAGTATAAACTGCCTGAGGACAGGGACTGTGTCCCTCACCACTATACCCCTGGTACTTAGCACAGGCCCTGGCATGTAACAGATGCTCTGTATGACTCAGCTTTTTGCCCTGGTAGTGGTGTATCACAAATCATCTCTGAGTTGGGGTTCAGGTTGACCAGGGTTTGGTTGGTCTGGACTGTAATCAGCTGGCCCTGGTTTGAACTTGTGGGTTGGGTGCAACTACTTGGAATGTGTTCTGGAAAAGGCAGGGATACAAGAGAATATGCCCAGCCATGCAGCAATCCCTTGGCCATGGTAGGGTGTGGATGTGGTAGTGCAATTTAAGAATTCAGAACAATTAGCCAGGCATGGCTTGGAAGGCTGGGGCAGGAGGATTGCAGCTAGTTCAAGGCCAACCTGGGCTACGTAGTGAGTTCAAGGCCAGCCTGCACTACATGGTGAGGAGACCCTGTCTCAAAAAAAAAAAAAATTAGAAGCAATTGAATCTACCACATAAATATTTGTTGTATGGAGTTGAGATGTAAGGCATTGTGCTAAGCACTCTATATACATTAATTCATTTAATCCTCCAGTCAACCCCGTACCACTAGCCTCACTTTTTGATAAGTACCTTAATTGAAAAAATAAAACCTGTGCAAAGTAAACAACTCAGATCATACCAACTATATTCCATGAAAAGTCATTCTTCTTTCTACTCTAGTCCTAGGCCTATTCCCTAGAGAGGAAGCACTACTTGAATTGTTTTGTAGACATTCAGATACAGTCTATGCAAATATGAGCCACACACAGGTGTACACACACACACACATGAGCTATCCCTTTTAAAAGATGTGACTCATCAGGCATCAGAGCACACGCCTGTAATCCCAGCACTCAGGAGTCAGACAGGAGGATTGTTGGAAGTTCAAGGCCAGCCTAAACTACATAGCAAGACTCTGTCTCAAAAAACCAATAAACAAATAAATAAATGCTGTGACTCAGCATCAAACCCTTTCTGCATCTTGGTTTCATTTTGTTTTCTACAGTACTATATCTTGGAGTTTCTTTTTTTTTTTTATCCATTAAATTGATCTATGTTATTTTTCACTTGTCTCCATTTCACAGATGAGGAAACTGAAAGAAAAAACTTATGCACAGGATTATAGCTCCAGAGACACCAGCCTGGCACTGAAACCCAAGTCCACCTGACTTCAGAGCCTGTGTGCCCACTCCTCTGTTCACCGATATGGCAGGAGCACGCCAGAGTCCCCAGCTTGGGCAGAGTAGACCCAGACCAGACTTCTCACCTGCAGAGATGGCAGTGGGGCCAACGCGATGCTGGGTCCACTGGGGGCCACTGGACCGCCCACCCACCTCTGTGTCCCAGCAAGGCTGTAGGCAGCCCCTCAGGACGCCACATCAACAGGAGAGGGCGGTTCTCCAGCCAGAGTGGCCCCATCCTAGCTCGGCCTTTAACTTGCTTTCTGCCTTCGGATAGCACTTCCCCTGTGTGTGAAAGGGAATGCTATCCCCACCTCTCTCCCAGAGAGAAGCACAGGGCTTACCACAAACCGGGGCTGGGGGGCTACAGTTCGGTGTGGGCGTGGGGACTGGGTACAGATGAAAGGCTTGGGAAGTGCTGTGATGCTTGCAGCTGGATGAGGTCCCCCCAGATATCTCAGGGACAGCTCAGAACCCAGCCCCTTTCGGGGGACCCAGCGTCTCCTTATGGGGATGGTTGGGTGTAGGGGCTTAGAGTCCTCCTCCCTTCTTACTAACTCCAGGGCCTCGAGCTCTGCTAGTGAGAGTCACAGCCCATCAAACTCTTAATGTGTCCACATGTGGGTAGTGCTGCCTCTTGCACGCAGTGCTCCTGACGAGTCTGCGAAGTAGGCATTCTCTCCAACGGGTACAAAGGAACTGAGTCTTGGAAGCTCGCTCAGGGCCAGGAGGCAGAGAAGGAAAATATTTTGTTTTTCTGAGTCTCAGTTTCCCCTCCTGCACAGTAGTAGGATAATGGTCATCTCTTACAGTTCTGATGGGGAGTAAGTGAGCTAACATAAGCAAACCACAGACACAGAGTAGGTGTTCAGTTAAAGTTCATTCCCTTCCTTATCCTCTTAGGAGTGGAGATAGTATTGGAACAGTACATTGCAGTTTCCTAGGTCTAGCCTCGCAGAGTACTATTCAAGTAGTTCAGTGATCTAGGCTGAGCCTGGACATCAGGATTCTCGAAACTTATCACGTGGGAGCTAGAGACATAGCTCAGTAGTAGAGCACTTGCTTAATATCTTCAAGGCCCTGGGTTCAACCCCTAGTGCTGCAAGAGAAAAAAACAAAAACCAAGTGATTCCAGCTGAGGAGCACTGCATTCTGGACCCTAAGTGAGTGGAAGGTTCAAATTGCAGGAGGCCCCCTGCCTGGTCCACTCCTCAAGGAGACTGTGTCTTGGTCAGCAAACTGAAATCAGGGGCTGAGGTGTGGCCGCAAGCCTCTGGATTTAATCCCCTGTGCTGTCGAAAAAAGAAAGAAAGAATGAAAGAAAGAAAGAAAGAAAGAAAGAAAGAAAGAAAGAAAGAAAGAAAGAAAGAAAAACATAAATTAGAGAGCTTCCTTTCAGTTAAATGCAATTTCCCATTGCATTTAACAGTTTTTGGGTTTTGTTTTGCTTTGTTTTTTGTCTTTTTGAGACAGGGTCTCACTCTGCAGTTCAGGCTGGCCTTGAGCTCACTTTGTAGCCCAAGCTGGTCTCGAACTCACAACGATCCTCCTAATTCAGCCTCCCAAGTGCTAGGATTACAGGTGTGCGCCACCACACCCGGCTTTAACAGTTTTTAAAAATAATATACATCCTTGCATGATCCAGGCCCTGTGCACATACTGCCACTGGTCTCATGCCTTTGTCCCCTTGCTCTCGCCAATCTAGACTTTTTTTTTTTTTCTGGTACCAAAGATTGAACAACCCATGGCCTTTGCAATGAGCTACATCCCAGCCCACTTTATTTAATTTTATATTTTATTTCATGTTTCTTGAGATAGGGTCTCAGTGCATGGCTAAGTTGCCTGGGCTGGACTCCCAGAATACCGGGCCCACAGGCAGGCACCACCGTGCTCAGCTCCACTGGGCCTGCACAATGTACCTGCCCCAGCACTCCACAAAGTGGTTTCCTGGCCAGTCACTCTCAGTTTTGCTCAGCTAGATATTGTTAAAGGCATGATGCAACGAGCAGATCACACCCGATATCTTGCCTTTCCTTGTCTGTTCACCTATTTTCTTATTGCACTCTAAGCTCCTGGATGACAGGGTCCACATCTGTTTTGGTTCATGGTTCACCCCAGTGGTCAGCATAGCATCTGGCACAGTCAGTGCTTACTAAATATGTGTTGAATGACACCAGGCCTACAGCATCTTGGAGGGCTAGGTGCTTTGGAATCTTTTTGTCGTTGTTGTTGTTTTTTCGGTACTGGGAATCGAACTCACAACTTTGCGCTTGCTAGGCAGGCACTGTGCCGCTGAGCTAAATCCCCAGCCCCGGAATCTCTTAATTGTTTAAAGTACATATATTAATAATGGCTCCTATGAAGTGAGTGCAGTCGGCCCTGCCTGTCCACAGGTTCCAAATCCGCAGGTTCGACCAACCTCAGGAGGAAATATGTGGAAAAAACCTGCAACTGTACTGAACAGGTACAGACTTTTTCTTGGCATTATTCCCTAAACAATACAGAATAACAACTATTTACATAGCATTTACATTATATTAGGCATTATAAGTCATCCAGAGATGATTTAAAGTGCACAGGAGGATGTGTGTAAGGTGTACGCAAACACACCTTATATGAGGGACGTGAGCAGCCACGGACTTTGGTAACCAAGGGAGGTCCTGGAACCCGTCCCCAGAGGATCCTAGGGGTGAGGGATGGCTGCGCTTACATTTCAGCTGGAGGACCGCGGAGCGAATGACAAGGGCCTCCCTCTCCTGCATCCTCTCTGCACCCTCTAAATCTGCTGGACCCCTCTCCAGCTCACGGTCGTTGTGTTGTCCTTCCTGCAGCATCATCTGTGCCTCCTGTGTCATGCTGTGGCCCCCTCGGCAGGGTCTCTGCCCAGTCAAAGCAAAGGGGCCTGCGTCGAGCCTGCACTCACCAGGCAGCAGAGCGGCCTTGTGAGACAGCCTTGCCCGACCTGCCTGCCCCGAGGCCCAGACAAAGTGCTGGCTGGGGAGTCAGGGCAGATGCAGCCGCCCAAGGCCCCAGCACAAGGTAAGGGTGAGAAGGAAGGTAGGAGAAGCAGAAGGAGGGCAGTGAGGGAGAATGATGAGTCGAAGAACCATGACCCGGTGGGCCTGGGCTGTGGGGAGGACGGGAAATGATGTCTCAGAGACCATCAGCGCACACGCCCGGCCTTGCCGCACCCTACCCTCCTGGATCCCCGTCTTCCAGCTTCTCCTAAATCTTGCAAGGCTGCCCCAGCCCTTGAGAGAAGATAAGCATCTGCAGGAAGCCAATAACTGGCGTGGAAAGCGTCTCCTTTCCCATCTTTGCTGTCTCACGTCCTTCCCGTTCGTCTCACAGAGCCATAGTCACTACCCTTGAGCCGTTAAGGAAACTGAGGGTCAGAATGGTTCCCATGGTCACCACATTTGCCTGTCTCAGTGCCCAGCTCATGACCACCCTGCTATAGTTGGTCCCCCGAAAGACTACTGCCTAGAACCCTCCAAAATCTGTGTTGTGAAAGGACAGCCTCCAACAAGGCAGGGGCTGCACCCCTTCCTCTCCAGGAAGTAATGGTGATGCGGCGGAGCCCTTCCGTCTTTCTGATACAGTTTTCCCTTAACACTTAGTAAAAGTGCCACAATTACCGCGGCCGCCTCTGGCATGCAAGATTTAAAGGAAGACAGAATCATAGGACGCCAAGCTGACATGGACCCGATGCCATACATCTCAGCTTACAGGTGGAAAAAAAAAAAAAATAGAGGCCCCCAGAGGTTTCCCACACCCTGCTAAACGCAGCCATCCATGTTTGAGATGTGCATTCACTTGATGTTTCTGCCCATGTTTCCGTGCCTGAGCTGGGTCCTTCGCAGCCAGCTGCACCGTTGCTTTGCTAGATTTCCATATGGAATTTCAGCGCTGTTCCCCGCCGGCCCCTGGGAGCCGCCTGCATCCTTTCACTTCTTGTGTCTTTAAAGCAACTCTCCTTGCCTAAGCTGCCTCCCTTTGGATTCTGTCCTTTGGAGCGGGTGCAGGCTCTCTCCCTCTTTTCCTGCTTTCCTTCCTTCTCTCTTTCCCCTCTCCCTCCTCCCACCCCATCATCATCTTCCTCCTTGTTCTGCAGGTGAAGTGGAAGCCTTAGGAGGTCTCCAGCCCCAAGACCCCCAGCCCAGTCGTGGCCACCCGCCCATCCTCCCTGGTCAGGTGAGGCTGTGGGGGTCCTCTGGCTGCACTGCAGTGTCTCTAACTGCAGCTTCTCCCCCTCTCTCAGGGTGGCTGGAAGATTATTAGATAATTTTCAAATTTGTAAAGTGCCTTAAGCTCCTCAGAGGCAAGGTGGTATATGAGTGTAATAACAATAACAATCCTATCTGTCAGAGCCATTGAGAAAATGAATCTTGTTATCCTCAGGAACCAGCCGTAGGAACCTCAGCAAGAAACATGAAAATAAAGCGTGGTGCTTGGTCTCCTGACCAATCAGGGGAGGGGAGAATGTCACCCAAGAACCAAGGAGGCATTTGAGCCCTCCTTCCCACAGCCCAGGGCTAGCAGTAAGGGGCTCTCAGAAAGTCACTAAATTGCCTCTGACGCTTCACCAATTAAAATGACTTTAGGACAAGTTGAAATCAACTTAGGGAGCAAAGCATTCTAATTTCTGAAACTCTCCGCAGGCAGTGGGGGAGGCAAGTGTCTGAGCAGGTTGTCACTCACTCAGGAGTAATGATGGGAAAATCCATCGGGTAACGTGATTGAGTTTGGTGAATTAGTAAGGATGTTTACATTGCACGCTGAGAGTCAGGACGGGGTTGGCTGGGCAGCCGGGGCTTTTGACATGTGTGGCAGCTTCACTCCTAATGAGGTTCTCGGACTCGACAGTCACCCTGGCTGGACTCAGTGTCACTGACTTCAAGTCTAGCTACATCTCACTCTTCAGGCAAGTGGCTAAGGGCAGGGGTGGGTTCTGCAAAAGATGGGTTCAAGTTCTGGCTCTGCAATGACCAGCCCCGTGCCTTGGGCAAAGCACGGTCTTTCTACAAGCCTCAGTTTCTCCGTATATAAAGTCTGCATGGTAGTTGGGCACAGTGGTGCATGCCTGTAAGCCCAGCACTCTGGGAGGCTGAGGCAGGAGGATGGCAAGTCCAAGCCCAACCTAGGCAATTTAGCAACTGAGCAAGACATTGTCTCAAAATTAAAAAGGGCTGGGGATATAGCCTTGTGGGAAGGCCCTGTGTTCAACACCCAGTACCACCAAAAAGACAGTCTGCATGATGCTGGCACAATTCATTTCAAGGTCTGGTGTGAGGAAGAAATAAGCTGAGCTATTTTTTGACTTCTCATTCACCTCCCAGGTCCAGCGTGTTACAGGGAGAAAGGAGAGGCAGTAGGGAGGACTCCCCTCCCCTGGAGTATCCATTCCCCTAGGAACCAATGGGAGACAGGAAGGCAGAGACCTGTGGGAAAACACAGCCACAGCTCACATCTTGATATGGCTCCTTCCTGGCTGTATGATCTTAGACAAGTCACTTACTTGTCTGAGCCTTGGTTCTCTCATCTGTACAATGGGATAAGCTGGCAGCCTCTCTGTAGTTTTCTGAACAGAACTCCTGCAGGTGATTTCTAGTGTGTAAAGGGAAAGGTGGCCTCCAAGAGAACAGGGAAAGCAGAGCGCATTCTTCTTTCTGGTGATCCCAGATGCCCGACTGGGGAAGAGGAGTCAAAGGACTGACCTGAGACCTCGTGACACATTGAATGGGAAGGGAGCAACAGTGGGAAGAGCTCTAGAATTTGTCAACCAGGCTTGCTGGGAAGCCACCAGAGGACATTACAGAGAACTGCAGCATGAAAGATGGAAGTCTGACTGGAAACAGACTTCTGGGCAGTTGGACAAAAACAAGCCCACTGCTTCTGGGGGGTTTTTGGCTTTATATGAGCAAAATTTCTGCCAGGAGGAGGAACTCAGCCAGACTGCTGGAAGCAGGGCAGGTAGGTGGGCAACGCTGAAGACCCTCCCACAGGTCAGGGAAGGAGGCTACCTTGGAATGGCTTTCTGTGAGTCTCGTCCTTGGAAGGCCTTGTGGAGCCGATGGTGACCCTGAAAGGAAGTCACTGGATCTGTTCTAGAGCAGAGATCATGTCCTCACAGACATGCCCAGGTCAGCACCAGGTCACAACTCTATTATTTAAGGTTTTCATAAATGAGCAAACCTCCGGGCCTGGAAGAATGGCCGGGATCCTGACTTCCTGCACAGGAAGTGCAGCAGCTGTGCCCGAGGCCTGGCTTGACCTGCGAAGGACTCACCGGCCCCTGCAGACGTCCCCCAGCCTAGAAGAAGCCCTGCTGCAGTGGACACGAGGACGCCTGGCCAGGACTCATTCCTCCCCTCCACCCGGAGTCAGGCCCACCCACCCTTTCGCCTCTGCTTGTGGACTCTGCACTGATTTTATTGTAATTTCCTCCCTGTCAAAGTTAATAGCATTAGTTTGTTAATTACTGTATATTTTAAAAGGAAAAGGAAAGGGAATTCCCACTGGTGACTTGTTCTTGGCTGAAGCAATGTGATGTGAGGGAAGGGAGCGTGTTGGCGGGGTAATGAGCTTGCCCTGCTGGGTTCCACACCTCCTGACAGTGCCTGGGGCCAGAGAGGGGCTGCCGAGCTAGGAGGCACCCAAGCCCCTCGGTCTGGGGACAGCGCCTGTGCAGCTCCCCTCTGGGTCCGAAATCTGCCAAGCCCCTAGTTTTATACTATTACCAGAAGAGGCCTCCGGCCTAAGGTGAGAGGGTTGAGCCCTGAGGCTGAGGGAACCAGGCCAGAGTAAAACAAAATGCTGAGGAGCCTGGATGGTGACAAGGGAGATTGATTGAGCCGGATGGAGTTCTGATTAGGAAATAGCTGGAATTTGTGGCGGGGCTCGCACACTAAAATTCAGCAGGACACAGCAGCCGTAGGGAGAGTGGGGGTGGGCCTAGGTCCTGGCTGGGATCTGGCCAAATTGGGTAGGATGGCTGATATTGGGCCCTTGTGCTGCTGGTCACAATGTGGCCACATCCGGGGACTTCTGGTATGGCATGTGGTTGAGGAGACTCGGAGTGGGCTAGAAGCCTGCTGCTCCCACTCTTTCCAGAGTTATCGGGAAGGGAAGCTGAGCTGGAGCATAGAGGATGGGGAAAAGCGGAGAGGGAGGCAGAGAAGGGAAGGAGGCAGCGAGACAGGGAGAGAGACTCACAGACAGAGAAGGATGGAGACAGAGAATGAAGTTCACGCGATCTAGAGGAACTGATTAAAATCCTGGGAGAAAATGTGATGGAAAGACTTTCTATCTTCCTATTGAGACATTTAACCTAAAAGAAATGAGTTAAATAATTTATACAGAGAACGAGTGAAATTTGCTTTGATCAAATTAAAAAATATGACTGTGGAAATAAAGTGTCCGCCGCCTCCTTTCTAGGTGGGGAAAAGAGCTGCGGAGAAACAAAATGACAAAGACATAAAAATAACTAACCCTAACCCAGCGAATATTAGTACCATATTTTTTGGGAGATTACATAGCATCATAGTAGGCCAGGCAGAGAAATCCTCTCTAAGCACCAACAGGAGAGGTCTTGCTCATTGTGGAAGCCCCATAAAAACCAGAAAATGGATAAAATTTTCCTTTGCAAAAGCGATCTGACTTCACTCAGGGGTTAGCCTAGAAGCCACAAGGGATCAAGTTAAATTTCCCACATGTGCATTTCAAAAACAGAAGAAAGCTTCGTAGCTCCCCACCTCAACTTTGTGTTTCTTGAAGACAATCCCTGTTCTTCTATGTATCCTGCACATGTATCCATATGCACACACACACTCACACACTCATCTGCTCGCAAGAAACATCGAAGATGAGCTCCAAGACTGCTGAGGAAGGGGTAAGCATGAGCACCGCTGGCTTAACCTGGCTGAGTTTCAAATGTGCCACTCTTCAAAGAGAACTCACCTTTCCTGGACAGAGTCATAGTGAGGATTCAAGAAGCCAGGCAGACAGGACACTTAGTGAAGGTTTGAGACCCCTCAAGCTGAAGAAATGTCCAGCAGGCACAGCCTGAAATGCCAGACCCCTACCTCATCTACATCTCCTCCTAGAGAGCGAGGGGGCGCCATCAGTCCAGTCCAAGAGAGAAAGTTCAGCTTAAGGGGCACTGGTCCCACCGACTCAGGGGCTGATGTAACCCAAAACACTGAGTTCTGGAGAGAACATGCAGAGATTAAAAACAAGGGCTCTTTATTGTTATTATTTATTTGGTTGGTTGGTTTTGGTTTTGAGACAGGGTGTTGCTGTGTAGTTCAGGGTGGCCTTGAACTCACTATGTAGTCCAAGCTGGCCTCAAACATGTGCAGATCCTCCTGCCTCAGCTTCCTAAGTGCTGGGATTGCAGGCATGTGCCACCATGCCTAGCTAAAAGCAGGGGCTTTAGAGTCAGATAGAACCAGTTTCAAATTTTGACTTCCCCATTACATAGCTGTATGACCATGGCCAGACTCACTTACTCTATCTTTTCTGCAAATTGGGAACAGTAATGAAAAGAACCTCCTAGAATTTTTTTTTTTTTTTTTTTTTTTTTTTTTTTTTTTTTTTGGCCTTTTTGAGACAGGGTCTCACTATGCAGTTCAGGCTGGCCTTGAGCTCACTTTGTAGTCCAGGCTGGTCTCAAACTTGCAACAATCCTCCTACCTCAGCCTCCCAAGTGCTGGGATTACAGGCATGCACCACCACGCCCAGCAGAATCTCCTAGAATGGAATGAGATAAGGGATGTAAATAGGGTGCCTAACATGTAAAGGTTCCACAAATGACAACAGTTATTATTTTCCACAGTGACCTTGAGAGAGATCTTCAAGGTCAGAGTGAATTTTCTTTTTTTGTTGTTTTTTTTGTTTTTCTCTGGTACCGGGAACCAAACTCACGACCTTGAGCTTGCCAGGCAGGCGCTTTGCCGCTGAGCTAAATCCCCAGCCCCCAGAGTGAATTTTCTTTCCATACTATTAGTTATGGCTTCTGATCCCCAGACAGGAGAGGACGTAGCTGACCTCTGTTCTGCCTGTGCCATAGGAAGCACTGTGTGGTTTGGAGCCACCTCTTATGGCTCTCCTTAGTGGCACAGAGGAGGGAAACCAGAAAGAAGGGGCAGCTCAACCCACTATCCATGAGGCCTGGAGAGAGGACGGGGAAGGTT